TCACTAAACGATATATAGAAGAGAAAGGGGGTGGGTGAGGGGGAGGGGAGGGGTGCTTTCAACCGCAGTGCACTTTCAATCGTTGATTATCTTCCACGATCGTTATACGGAGCGAGTCGCATCGTTATACAGATTCAACGTTATTGCCATGAGAATATTGCAACACTTTACCTAAAACTCCCAAACATGCGTCGTTAAAAAGAAAACAACGAGAAATAAAAAAAAATTGTGATAGACCATTTTAGAATTTTTAATTTTTTTTAAATATATATATATATATATTGCCATTTTAATAATTGCGTAGAATATTATAATTAAGTCCTGACACGGTAAAAGGGACCTTACGATAAAATTAAATTTTAGGTTATGTTGAGTGATTGTTTTATTTGAATTAAATTTTTAATTATGTAAAATCAAAATCAGTTTTTATTGAATATTTGGATTGTGGTTTGCATCATGTAACTTTTTGCATACAAAAGGTGATCTTTTTTTTTTGTATATTATTACTTTAAAAATCGTAAACATAACCTTAAATTTTGTTTACCTTAAGGCCCCTTTCACCGTGTTAGGACGCATATATATATATATATATATATATATATATATATATATATATGAAATTTTTAATTATGTATTATTATACTATTAAAATTGTGACGCGTTCCAAAGAAGGGGAGCTTAGAAGCAAAAAATTATAGGTTATAATTTTAAATTTTAAGTGAAAATTCATGTCGTAATAACCTATAATTCGTTTGATTGAAAGGTCCATTTTTTCGCGACGCTAAGATATATGTGATGCTTTACGATATAAGGGACCTTAAAGGCAAAAAAAAAAAATTGTAGGTTATGTTCAGTGATAGTTTTAGCATAATTATACTACTCATTAATTTAGTAAGGGTACTATTTCAATTAGTAAACTTTAATTAATAAACTAGTAGTTTTCAACTATCAATCAGTAATTTCTACTATCAATCAGTATATTCTACTATCAATTAGTCAGTTTCTCCAAAAATTAGTCAAAACAATTACTAATTCTTAATTAAAAATGACTAATTAATATTAGAAAACTACTAATTCATTTATTAACTGTTAGAGTAAACTATAGTAAACGAATTAGTAGTTTTCTACTATCAATCAGTCATATTATTGACTAATAATTAGTAATTTTGACTAATAATTAGTCAAAACGATGACTTAATTTTAGTCAAAACGGTTATTAATTCTAAATCAAAAATTACTAATTAATTTTAGAATACTACTAATTCGTTTAGTAAGGCATTATTTTAATTAATAAACCTAAATAAACGAATCCCAATTGAAAAGATTCCCCGGAAAGTGCCTCCTGGAGGTTCTATCAGAATTCCGCCGGAACTTCCAACGTAATTCCGTCGTAATTCCATCGGAGTTCCAAAGAATTTCCGATGGGATTCCGATTAATTTTTTTCAAAATTTTTTAGAGTCCTAATTCCGTCGGAATCCCATCGGAAATTCTTTGGATCTCCGATGGAATTCTGACGGAATTACGTTGGAAGTTCCGGCGGAATTCTGATAGAACTTCCAGGGGGCACTTTCTGGTGAATCTTTCCAAGTTGGATTAGTAGTTTTCTACTATAAATTAGTTAATTTTGACTAAAATTTACGATTACTAATTAATAAACGAATCAATGCAATTTAATTATAGTCAAAATGTGACTATTTATAAAATATAAAAGTAAATTTAAAATGCAAAATTCAAAAATATAAATCTACATTAATTACAGTAAATAGTATTATCAAAATTAATTTATCTAAAAAAAAAAATTTTTTTTTTCCAAAAATAAATGAATTTTTTGAAAATGCGCACTTGTCGGATTATATATATATATATAGCGAGTTTGAATGTCAAGCATGAAAATCCTCGTCTCAAGCTCACAAGACGCGATTAACACAGCTATGTCACCGCAGTTGTAGGTGCGAATCGTGTGTCCAACGTTCCTCCAGGGAACGATCAATGAGGGGTAGTCACGTGACCTCGCCACAGGGAGTTCGCGCAATGCATCACCAACCAGCCGCCCCTTTGCTTTATCTCTCTCTCTCTCTCCCTCTCTCTCTTATTCTGCCCCCGGACACCCCACAATACCATAGCAGCTAGCCACCCCGCATCCTGCTACTCCATCTTCCTCCCTCATCCACATTCAAACCCCCCACCAAGAAATTTCAAACGACCATCTCTCGTCCTACTCCCTATACGACAAGGATTGTTGCGACGTTGCTCTTAGCGACCAGCAAGTCGTCTTCGCGTTAGGGATGGGGGCGGGGAGGGGGGGGGTGCTTGCATTGACCCGGCTGATTTTCAACGCCTTCCAAACTCCCACTTTGCTTTCTTCTTCTTTTTATTTCATTCTTTTTTTTTTTCTTCTTCTTTTCTGTCGAGAGAAAAGGACACTTTGCCAGATCCGTGTTTGCCATTGAACGGATGCTGATACTCCTACTATTCTGTTAAGAAGTAAAATCTTCGTCGAGAGAGAAAAAAAAGAGAGAGAGAGAGAGAGAGAAAGACGTGTTACAATTCAAAAGGGGAGGCGAAACAAATGTTAATATTTTGTAGGGAAAGAGATGTTTTTAAATTTTTATATAGAAAGAGAAAGAAATTCAATATTCGAAGGGGAAAAGAGACGGAGGGAGAAATAGAAAATAATGGAGAAAAATGAGTATTATAAATTATAATAATATAATAATATAATAATATGATAATAAAATAATAAAATAATAAAATAATAAAATATAAATTCTGTAAAAATATAATATAAATAGTATAATAATATAATATAAACAGTAAAATAATAAAATAACATAATAACATGTGACTCTCCACAAGAAAAGGGACCTTAGAGGCAAAATATTTTAGGTTATGTAATTGAAAAAAAATCTTGTCCAATTATTTTTTCTACTTAAAAACAAAATTCGTCTGACTGATACACTTTTTTACTACTTTTTCACCTGGAAATAAAATTAAGTCTGACAGAAAATGTTTTTTCTACTTAAACAAAAATTTTTCAAATAAAACTAATTGCAAATTAAATTCGTTTGACTAATACAGTTTTTTCTACTTAAAACCAAAATCTATCTGGATAAACTACTTTTATCTACTTAAAAATAAATTATATTTTCAAAACTACTTTTTCTACTTAAAAACAAAATTTGTCTGACTAAACTAACTTTTTCTACTTAAAAATAAATTATTTCTAACAAGATTACTATTTTTATTTAAAAGCAAAGTTTTGTCTGATAAACAACTTTTTTCTACCTAAATATAAACACTGGAACAAAACTACCGAAAATTAAAATTCGTCTTTTCACCTTTTTCTACTTGAAATCAAAATCTACCTGGAAAATCTGATTTTTCCACTTAAAATTAAAAATCGTCAGACTAATACACATTTTTCTACTTAAAACGAAAATCTACCTAGAAAGAACTGCTTATTCTACTTAAAATACAAATTCGGCTGACTAATACAATTTTTTCTACTTAATATTAAACTATGATTGGTAAAAATTAATTTCTACTATTTTTAAACAAAATTTCTCTGCCTAAACTACTTTTTTCTACATAAAAATAAATTATTTCTTTGAAAACTACTTTTTTTTTTTTACTTAAAAACAAAATTTGTCTCAGTAAACTATCTTTTTCTACTTAAAAATAAATTATTTCTAAAAAAACTACTATTTTTACTTAAAAGCAAAGTTTTGTCTAATAAAAAACTTTTTTTCTACCTAAAAATAAACAGTAGGACAAAACTACTTAAAAGTAAAATTCGTCTGACTAATACATCTTTTTCTACTTGCAACCAAAATCCATCTTAAAAATCGACTTTTTCTACTTAAAATTAAAACTCATCTGATTAATACACATTTTTCTACATAAAACGAAAATCTACCTAGAAAAAACTGCTTATTCTACTTAAAATCAAAATTCGGCTGACTAATATAATTTTTTCTACTTAATATTAAACTTTGATTGACAAAAATTAATTTCTACTATTTTTAAATAAAATTTCTCTGACTAAACTACCTTTTTCTACTTTAAAATAAATTGAGGGTAATAAAAATTACTTTTTCTACTGAAAAACTTAAAATTGTCTGATAAAACAACTTTTTTCTACTTTAAAATAAATTCTAGTACTCTACAATGATTCTAAATTAAATTCGTCTAATTAATATACTTTTTTCTACTTGAAACTAAAATCTACCTGGCCAAATATAATTTTTCTACTTCAAAATAAAATTCGTCTGACTAATACACTTTTTTCTACTTAAAAACAGAATCTACCTGGCCAAACTAATCTTTCTACTTACAAACTAATCTTTCTACTTAAAATAATAATTTTTTTGACTAAACTACCTTTTTCTACTTAAAAATAAATTATTTCTGGCAAAACTACTTTTTCTACTTAAAAACAAAATGTTACCTGACAAAAAACTTTTTCTTTTCTTTTTAAAAATAAACACTGTATTAAAATTAAAGTTCGTCTGACTAATACACTTTTTTCTACTTAAAACCAAAAGCAACCTGGCCTAAGTTTTTTTTTTACTTCAAAACAAATAACTGATGTCTTCATTGGAATCAAAATATTCAAAATCAAATATTAAATTATTTTATCAGCAGTTGAAAGTAGCAAAAAGCATTATTATTATGATTATTTTTATTATTATTATTATTATTATTATTATTATTATTATTATTATTATTATTTATTCTTGTATACTATGTACATTGTGTTTATTAGTAGCAAAAAGTATAAAAGTTTATCTATTTAAATTTATCAAAATAAATTTAGATTGCGTCAAATAATAAATTTATTTAAATATAAAATTATTATGTAAATAATTATATGTAAAGCACAATTTGAAAAAAAAATTGATAAAATAATTAAATTTATAAAATATAGTGAATTATGTAAATTAGATCTTTGAAAAAAAAGATTTTTTTTTTATTTTTTATAAGATTTTTATTCATTAAAATATTATTCATTAATAAAGATATTCATTTTTTTCTTCATTACGAAGATAATAAAAAATAAGAAGATATAAAATAACAAATTTTGTTTAAAAAAAAAATTGAATTTTCATTTTTTCCTTTAGGTGTTTTATAATGTAAAATTAGAAAAACAATATTTTATTTCCTCTGAACTTTTAGGCCATTCCTCTTGTAATTTCTGCTGAACAGTAAAATTACAGTGTTGACTTTCTATTAACATCATATCGTGTGTATTAGCTAGCAATCTAATTAAATTATTTGAAATATCTCTAAGACCATCAATTCGAATATTTAATTCGGTACTTTTTAATTCTTTAATAGAAGTTCCATTTGTCAAAATTTCAGTGTAATTCTTCTTTTCATAGTTTGAATAAACAGTTTGCACTTGTGATTCCAAATTATTGGCATTCTGAAAAATAATATTTTTCAATTTTTGTCAAATTATTATTATATTTTATTAATTAAACAAAATTTATTTACTATAATAAATTAGAAAAAAAAATATTATTTATTTTTGAAACTATATATATATATATATATATATATATATATTAATAATTAATAGTAATTAATTACTAATTATTAATTAATACATACATTAATAAAAGAATCGTAATACGATTTAATGGAAATCGTATAATGTTCATTTTTAGCAGTCGCTAGGCAATCTTCTAAATTTTTCTCAATTGTCAAGTAACGTTCTCTCCATATTTTTGTACTATTTTCAAGACATGATTTCAATGGTCCATTGATATTTTCAATATTGCTGATATTATTATCCCTCTAGAATAAAAAAAAAATTCATCATATATATAAAATTTCAAAGTTTAAAAACAAAAAATTGTTAAAAATTTATTTAAAAAAAAGAATATTATACAGTAAATATGAAATAATACTCTCTAAATCTGAATTAGTAAAAATGTTTACTAATTTAAATTAGTGACTCACTGTTTGTTTTAGAATTAGTTAAATTTTACTAATTGTTAGTAAAAGTTACTAATAATTAGTCAAATTTTACTAATTGAAAAGCAAAAACTAAGTCACTAATTCAAATTAGTAAACTTTTTTACTAATTCAGATTTAGAGAGTACATTTATTAAAAGAAAAATATTGAAACAAATACTTAACCTTCATTTTTTCGATTTTCAAGATATCCTTAAATCTAAAGTTATTGTAAATATTAAATTCTATTCGGCTAAATTTATTTGGCAATGACTGTACTATGACATCATTCAAATCTTCGATTCTTAAACTGAGTTTTTTAATGTCCTTTTGTAAATTTTCTAAATTAGAGTCGACATTAATATTCGATGATAAACATATCTGAAAAAGAGATTTTTTTAAAAAATTTTATTAAAAAAAATTCCTTAATTGCTTTTTGCGTACGGATTTTTTTTTTAAAATAAATTTAAAAAAATTTTTTTTTTAAAAATATTGTTAAAAAAAATGAGAGTAATTGAAAAATTAAACTAAACAAAAAAATGGAATTAAATTTTTTTTTTGAATTTAAATTATTTATTTGTTATAGAATTACCTGATATGTACAAATTAAAAAGACAATTGTAATTATCAAATTCATTATAATATTGTTGAATATGAAATGTTATAGAACTTGGAAACTATTTTAAAAATTTTCTTTCAAATTGTGCTTTATATACCGTGAAAAGTTAATAATTTTATATGTAAATTAATTTATTATTTGACGCAGCCATAAATTTTTTTTTTTCGATAAATTTAAATAGATAAACTTTTAATTTTTGCTACTTTTAACTGCTGTTAAAATAATTCTACAATTTGTTTTCTTTATTTGACGAATTTTTTTTTTTGACGCATTTTGTTTATCTAATACATTTTTTGTAAAAAAAACACTTGTATGAATTTTATAGTATTTGAAATTTAAATATTTAATGCAAATTGTGAATATATAATACATAAATCAAAATAAATAAATAAAAAGAAAAAAAAAGAAAATAAGAATAGATAAATAAATAAAAAGCAGGTATTCTTTTTTTACACAAAATTTTTATTAATTGAGCGATGATTTTTTAAAAAAAATTAGATTTGTATAACTTTTTTTTTATTTAATACTAATTTTTAGTTAAAAATGAGTAACTGATAGTAGAAAACGACTTGTTGGTCGTAGCGTTATATTTCTAGTTAGTTTCGGCTTAGTTAAATTATACACTGACTACACTGAAAAAAAAATTTATATGACTCAAAGAATCGGTTACTTGACTATTATTTAAAAAATTATTTACTTGAAATAATAATTAATAATAATTTAAATAATAAAATAAAAAATAAAATAAATAATTTCTGTATATATAAAAACTATCTAGTTTCTGGATAGTTAAACTATATGTAAACTATCTAGTTTTTAGATAGTTAAACTATATAGAAACTGTTTAGTGCACATATTTTCTTTAGAAAGATTAGGGCAGTAATACTATTTAGTTTCCTGATAGTAAATCTGTATAAAAACTATCTAGTTTCTGGCCAGTTAAACTGCATAAAAACTATATAGTTTTCAGAAACTTAAACTATATGAAAACAATGTAGTTTCTGGATAGTCAAACTGCATACAAACTATCTAGTTTTCAGAAACTTAAACTATCTAATTTTCAGAAACTTAAACTATATGGAAACTGTCTAGTTTCGGGATTGTTAAACTATATGTACACTATCTAGTTCTTAGATAGTTAAACTATATAGAACCTATCTAGTTCATATATTTTATTTACAAAGGTCAGAACAATTATACAGCCTATTTTTTGGATAGTTAAACTGGATAGAAACTATATAGTCTTTAGATAGTTAAAGTGGATAGAAATTATCTAGTTTTTAGATAGTTAAGCTATATAGAAACTATCTAGTTTACATATTTTATATATAAATTTCAGGACAATTGTACTTTCCAGTTATTGAATAGTTAAATTATATAGAAACTGTCTAGTTTCGGGAGTGTTAAACTATATGTACACTATCTAGTTCTTAGATAGTTAAACTATATAGAACCTATCTAGTTCATATATTTTATTTACAAAGGTTAGAACAATTATACAGCCTATTTTATGGATAGTTAAACTGGATAGAAACTATATAGTCTTTAGATAGTTAAACTGGATAGAAACCATATAGTCTTTAGATAGTTAAACTGGATAGAAACTATCTAGTTTTTAGATAGTTAACCTATATAGAAACTATCGAGTTTACATATTTTATTTATAAATTTCAGGACAATTGTACTTTCCAGTTATTGAATAGTTAAACTACATAGAAACTGTCTAATTTCGGTATTGTTAAACTATATGTACATATAAACTATCTAGTTTATATATTTTATTTATAAATTTCAGGACAATTATACTCTCTATTTTTTGGATAGTTAAACTATATAGAAACTGTCTAGTGCATATGTTTCATTCAGTGTATACAGAAATTAAATACAACTCTTAGCGTAACATTTATAGAAACGTGAATTAATTTCACACGGGTTTCGTGTTTACATTATTTTTCTTCTTTCTTTATAAAAAGTCCCAATCTATTTACCTTGTATGGCAATTTATAAACAGCTTGTTACAAATAATAAACATAATCAAAACGACGTGAATAAAGAATGTATTTGATCATGAATCATGCTGGTAGGAATCATATATATATATATATATATATATATATGTCTGGGTGGGGGGAAGATCGTATGTAATGATTATAATTGTACTATTTCTGACACATGTCAAACAGGCTGTCAGATCAAGTTCGTGACAACGTTATATGTGTGTAAAACAACCATTGCAATATGCCGCGTAATTACACGTTGCTGCCTCATCCGGGCCAAGATCGTTTGTTTTCGCGCCAATATTGCTCACGACATGCAAGCCTTTGGTGATTAGGTTGTTGAACATCTTATCATCAAAGTAAATGTACATTATATACTATATATATATATATATATATATATATATACTCGCAAAGGAAATGTGTATTTAAAATACATTTTTTTAAATATTTTTTTTCATTATTTTCAAAAAAAAGGAACTTACATTTTTATGATGCATTAATTGTCACACACTTGTCATTAAACATTTAACTTGAATTACTAAGTAAAATTTATATTCAGTTTACATTTTCTCTTAACAGTAATTTGCTTACCCGCACATATTTAACGTAAAAAGAGAATTTCTGTGATGTTAAAATAGAGAGTGAGAAAGAGAGAGAGAGAGAGAGGGGGTATCACCTAAAGCAGTTGCATGCAATGTGGCATGTATACAATAATTAAAACGATCCTCTTTAACAAGAATATGTTATTTTCGTAAAAGTATTATTATGTATTTGAATCAGTCATTTTTTTTCTCAGTCATTGATTCTTCATTTGATATTTCTATTTTATTTAAATGGGCACATCCTCAAAACATGATAAATTAATGATATGAATATCAAAAATTTTAAATTACAAGTACATTTTTAATATTGTTTTTGGATAGTTAAACTGTATGGAAACTATCTAGTTTTTAGATAGTTACACGATATTAAAACTATTTAGTGCACATATTTTATTTAGAAAGGTCAGGTCAGTTATTCTGTCTAGTTTCCTGATTAGCAAAACTATATAAAAACCATCTAGATTCCGGATAGTTAAACTGTGTGAAAACTATTTGGTATTTATATTATTTTTATAGAAATCAATACAGTTATCTAGTTTTTGAATAGTTAAACTGTTTTGAAACTATCCAGTTTTTAGATAGTTAAACTATATGAAAACTACCTAGTTTTTGAATAGTTAAACTATATGGAATCTGTCTAGCGCATATATTTTATTTAGAAAGTTTATAGGGTAGTATAATACTATGTAGTTTCCTGATAGTTAAAGTGTATGAAAACTATCTAGTTTCTGCATCATTAAACTCTGTACAAACTATTTAGTTTTTACTTTTTAGATAGGTTAAATGAATGCAAACTATCTAGTTTTCAGACAGTTACACTATATAACAATCATCTATTGCATATATTTTATTTAGAACAGTCAGAACAGTTATACCATCTTGTTTCTGGATAGTTAAACTATATGAAAACCATCTGATGACTATGTTATTTCTATAAAGGTCAAGGCAGTTATACTATCTAGTTTTTGAATAGTTTAACTGTTTTGAAACTATCCAGTTTTATATAGTTAAACTATATGAAAACTACCTTGTTTTTAGATAGTTAAACTATATAGAATCTGTCTAATGTATATACTTTATTTAGAAAAGTTAGGGCACTAATACTATCTAGTTTTCTGATAGTAAAAGTGTATGAGAACTATATTGTTTCTGGATTCTTAAACTCTATGCGAACTATTCAGTTTTCAGATAGTGAAACTGTATACGAACAATCTAGTTTTTAGCCAGTTACACTATATAAAAACTACCTATTGCATATGTTTTTTAAAACAGTCAGAACAGTTATACCATCTAGTTTCTGGATAGTTAAAGTGTATGGTAATTTTATGGTGTTTGTATTATTTTTATAAAGGTCAAGACAGTTATACTACCTAGTCCTTGAATAGTTAAACTATATAAAAACTGTTTAGTGGATATATTTTACTTAGAAAGGTCAGAACAGTTATACTATCTAGTTGCCTCATAGTAAAACTATGTGAGAACTATCTAGTTTTCAGGTACCTAAACTATATGAAAACTGCCTAGTTTTAAGATAGTTAAACTCTACAGAAACTATCTAGTTTTTAGATACTTAAGCTTGATGGAAACTTCCTAGTTTTTAGATAGTTGAACTCTATAACAACTATTTATTGCATATATTATATTTACAAAAGGCAGGACATTAATACTTTTTATTTTTCTGATAGTAAAGCTATATGAAAACTATCTTGTTTTTGGATAGTTAAACTGTATGGAAACTACTTAGTTTTTAGATAGTTAGACTCTAAAAAAACTATTTATTGCATATATTTTAATTACAATGGCCAGAACAGTTATACTATTTAGTTTTTATATAGTTAAACTATATAGAAACTGTTTTGCTTATATATTTTATTTATAAACGTCAGGATAATTATACTATCTAGTTTTTAGATACACAACTATACAGAAACTGTTTAATGCATTTATATATAGATTATATAAAAAAGTTAGAACACTTATTGTATTTAAAATATATTTAATGGAAAAAATTCAAATGAAAAATAATAGTCGGCAGGCGTTTATGTGAAAATGATCGCAAGTAAAAACAAAAGGCGTTCTTAAAAAAATTTACCTTCAAATTTTTCAACGTAAAGAAGAAATCGTCGTAGGGAATTGAAATTTCCTGTGGTTCATCCTTTGTGATGTAAAAAAGGGACTTTAAAAGACCCCTAAGAAAGGTTTCAATTTTACCCTCGTTTATTCTTTCAGCGGAGGTCTCTTTTAAATTAGCTTCTACTTTTACTCAAGTTTATTAAAAGGGTTGAAGAATTCTTGATTGATTGAATTAAAACTTTTTGATTTGCACTGTGTTGTCAACTTAAAAGAGCGTACTAACCCCCTTTTTTTTAATTGACAATTTTACAAATCAAATGATTTTTAAATTTTTACTTGGTTCAAAAAAGTGTAGATAGAATTTATTTTTTTGTTTCCCCCAAGGAAATAAAAGTATCT